ATTATTTATGATTTTATCCCATTACATGTTTGAGCACAAATAAGTTTAACTATTATTTCTGCCATTTGTGATACGTAATGATGAAGTGCTTAAAAATATAAACATTATTCTACTAGTTAAGTTAATAAGCTAAGTAATTCCATGTTAATGACCTTTGTATTTTGATCACAAGTTAAAGTTACTTAGTAGTTTACAACTCATAAAAACTTGACACAATTAAAATAAAAACTATTATACTTCACAGTGCTAATATCAGAGATGACAATTATAAAATGTTTTTATAGATGTTTGTAAAATTAAGTGAAAGTTCAGTTAGCTAAAAAAAGTTAAGTTAGTTCTTTCAACTAGTGACAAAAACATTACTGCTTGTATACTATCTATAATAACATAATTTTGAAATATTCTAATGAATTCAAATTTATGCTCAAGCAAATCTTCATCCCATAACTCTTCCTATAAAGCATATTAATGAAATTATTTTACCCATAACTGAAGGCATAATATATCAATATGTAAATTAAATTTAAAATGCCTTTCATCATTTTACATACTTAATAGCTTGGACAGTTGACAAATTACTATTTCACTCATGAAAAAAGGTATGCACGCACATTATTGAGGTAACTGTGGTCTCAAAAATACCTAAAGAAATCAAAGACTAATGACATCTAAAATTTTTTATAAATTAAGTTATTAATTTCTAAATTTATACACATTATGAGCTGATATATGGTGCTGATGGAGCTTCTGGTTTGATCACTAAATGAATAAAGTGAATTGTATTCCAAGATGAAACCATTCCTTTCACTTCCTATTCAAACTCAGTATTGTAATCCATACTTTTTGTTAGATTCTCCAACAGTGAATTATAATGTTTCATCAAAACTTACGTCAAAGCTTGAAGAAAGCCTCAGGTTCAAGTTAGGTTTTATTACTCTCCGGCAAGGTTGTGGAGTTGAGTCTTCACCACACAGCTTCGTTCTGGAGGTTTCAACTGATTTAGAAACAACATTACACTGAATATCATTTTTCCAAATTTAACCCCAACTGTTATTACAAAAAAAATGTTCAACAAACATAAACGTCAAAAGAATAAAGGTTCATGTAAGATTGAATTTTCAGTAAGAGGTTTACAAGTTTTCACTGCTAGAAACAATTATATTACTACACAGACGAGCATATGTAGTATTAAACACATCCCTGCCTTCCTTATTTTCAATGAATAATTTTCTTTTAGAAATTTCTAGGTTAGTTTTACAGAGTTATTGACCAAGAAAATCATTATTTTGAGGACATTATTATACCACTTAGAAGATACTATAAGTGTGTGGTATATCCTGGTAAAACTCAATTAACATTAAAGATATGTTATTTAGGTCCATTAGATTAAAGGAGATTTGCTCAAGTTATCAATTACAGAGTACTTCCAAGTAAATCTCTCACAACTGAGTTAATGTAAAATGTAGTAAGAAGACTGTGTAAAATTTAAAATACAAAATTTGTATTAAACATTAAACACAATGTGTGTATTTGCTGTTACTTACACAATACAACTGACTATACTGGATCACATGACTCAGATTATGCTAACTAAATTGATGTTCCAGACCAGAGACTACATTTAAAGTTCTTTAATTCAAAAGAAATCTCACATTTATCTACAGTGACTTGCACTACCCACATGACTGTCCATTCTCATTACAACACAGGTGGAGCCATAACCTCTATATATCCCCAAACAACTGTTGAAGGACATTACTCTCAACATACATACACAATGTGTCATATTGAACAATATCCTTCCCAGACAGTAACAGTTATTATTCACTTTTGAGAATAACAAAGGTAGCTTTGAACGAGAGCAGCTTAATGACTTTCTCAACTGCTTGCTACATAAAACCTGCACATACATAGAACAAAGAATAACTTCCGAATAAATACTATAATATCACAAGAAGAGAAATGTATGGTATATTCGTATACAACAACAGTAAGAATCTCTATATAATTAAAATGGACTTAACCTATTTTGGGTATTGTTTGAAATAATTTATCCACGTACATGCAGGTATTAATAATAAAATAGTAACCTTAAAATTGCAACAACTTACTAGAATATTTTGTCACTGATTTCTACTAATCTATTTAAATTTTATTACTACAGAACGAAATACTATACAAATTACATTTCAATTATTTCATTTTGGTGGAAAACCTTCAAAAAATGTAGTATTAATTAAATGTTCTGAGAAATAGATGCCTAATACAATCAATAATTTTATCATTAATTAAAAGAAACACCAATCGTAGCATATTAATTTGCAAACTATTTACTAAAATGTGAGAACATAGTTCATGTAAATATTTCTGGCATTTATCTCTTAAACAAATTCATGTTGATACTACAAGTAATAATTACATATGTGAGATACAAGTAACATACAACGTCACAAATGTTTCTGTGTTTATCTAAAAACAAACGTGTCACCGGATGAGTTGTTTATCTATAAATGTGGCAATATGGCAATACAAGCATCGAACAATTATTTTGGACAAGTATCATACTTTTTGAAAAACAGTATTTTACTAAACACTCAATTCATTATTAATGTAAGAGCACTTTTTGAGCTGTTTAACCACTATAAAGTGATCATAGAATCAACATAAAACTTCGTAACTAATACGTATAAATAATTCTACCAACGTTCAACTCTTCAAGATCAATATATGCAACCCAATCTGTAAATTAAATTTCTCAAACATATACATACAACTTACAAGCAAATCATTTTTTCTAAAAGTAATATACAATCACTTCCAGAACAATTAACTAGCTGAGTTTAGTTTGTTTTCTACACAAATACTTTCTAAAACGATCATACATCTCTACAAACTTTCTAAGCTGAAACAATTCAAATGTTCACAACATATATTTTTCTAGCGCTGACACATAGCATTTAACACTGTACTTGATACACACAATTAACCAACACCATTACTATTAATTTTACGAATCTCACGTGCTTTTTAAACCAAAGTTTACATTTTGAAACATTTAAAAAGAAAATCTGTAAGCCATTCACACATACCAAAAAACATTGAAATTGTTAAATTTGATTTAATTTTTAAAAATAAACTCTCACCATATGAAAACTCGTCATCACTGTAGGCCATATTAAACACACTGTTAAGTTTCCCAACCGACACGACCAAGAGCTGAAAAACACTGACTGGTGGGTATTGGGTAATAATTTAAATTTTCCTACACGTTACAGTACCAAACGCCTGGGGCAAGAACAAATCCTGCGGCTAACTTCCGCTTTTGTGAACCATGTTCAAAAAACACCAGCTGTCGCTGGAAAGTGGGTCAACTTCTTATGCATAAGCATAGAACAATGGATGACGTCAAAGGTACCTCTGTTCACAATTCTAATACTGACTATAGAATTACTGTGAAGGAACTATAAATCACATAGAGTGATCCATTTTGTGTGTTTCAATTTAGTTGATCTTCATCTCCTTTAAAAAGTACTATAAGATACCATTTACCTCATTCTGTTTCTTTCGTTGTTGTTTTTAAAGAGGTTTAAACAACTTACACATGTGGTTAGTTGCTGCCACCATATTTTACTCAACCTTCATGACTATGAATTATTTCTATTTCACGACAACAGAACACACACAGTCGAGCACGGCTAGTTAAGAGACAAATTCAGTAGAGCGTGGCTTAGCTCGTACCAATACGTTTGCAAGGGACATCAGAACCGCTGATGCATTCAATCACTTTAATCAGAACTTTGGAATAATGCTACTTCTCTAACACTACTTCACGTAACTTAACCTGGGATAGGTAGCATCTTAATAATAAATGCCTATCCAATTGGAGCTTATATTTGTACGTAGAATTCTACGTCTGTTTCTATCATTCTCAAGTCAACATCGTGAATAACACTTTCATTATGTTGTTTATCATATATATATACATAAATCGACTATCTTAGAATTTACTCAAAACTCTATTGACATTCACACACAATTATTGATATACATAATTTGATAATCATGGGTTGTAGTGACCGGATATCATCGTTAATAACCTATACGATAACCTGAGGACTGTATCTGTGGTGATTCCATCTTGGATTTTCCTGACAGAAAGAGCCTGGCGTGGGTTAGTAGTTAGCGTACCAGAATGTGAATTCGAAGGTCAACAGTTCGCGTACCGTTGCCATGAAATCTCGTTTCATACTTTGCTATCACTGACAGTCAAAGCATATTATTCAATTACAGTTGCATTCCTTTTAGTTCAAATTAGGAACGGCAATAGCCCTTGTGTGGTTTTGCGCGAATATCCGAAACAAACAACTTTGATAGAATAACTGGTTTACCATCTACTCATTCGGCAGCAGAGCTAGTTAGTAATTAGTATCTAGTAATAAGAAAAACCAGTAATTAATTATAATTACTTAGATGATCGCATATTCCACAGGCAATGGGAACTACGTACAGTATTCATAATTTTACCATTACTATGCATGAGAAAGTACGCAATGACATCACTGTCAATAAAGATAAAATATACGATCTTGAGTTTCATAGGGTGAAAAAAATATTTCCATACAGAAACATTAAGGATAGCATTGCCTGAGAGTTCTCACACTGATAACGTTTTTGAGTTCATGCTGTCGTCAAACAATAACTGCTAGACTATAACATTCAGCCTATTTAATCAATGATGATTTTGAGGTAGGAAGAAAATAAAACTGGTGGAGGGTTCCTGCTAGTGAGGTTACAAATGGTCTAGAAGGCTGAAAGACTACACTCGAAAAATAAAACTGGTGGAGGGTTCCTGCTAGTGAGGTTACAAATGGTCTAGAAGGCTGAAAGACTACACTCGAAAAATAAAACTGGTGGAGGGTTCCTGCTAGTGAGGTTACAAATGGTCTAGAAGGCTGAAAGACTACACTCGAAAAAGGTTTAAAATATTGTTATACTCTCAGTAGATACATTTTGTTCACTTCTGAAGACAAAATGTCTTCCTCTTTTAAATTGAAACATTTATGCTCTTTACATTTTAAATTCTTACACGTATCGAACTACAGCTATCTTTTGTAAATTATAGTTTAATTTGACGTATATATTGGATAATTAAGCATACTTGAAAGTCAGTAGTTTGAGGTTCTTAGTTTTAATTTTTTTCCAAATTAACTTCCAATCTCAAATGTCGTTGAAAGATTTTCCAGTCACAACTAGCATGGTTGATATGTTTTTGTTAAAGTTCACAGAATGCCTTTCATTTCATGTCCAAGATTTGAAGAATTGTCAAACAACATTTCTTCTACCACCTAATGATTCTAATCCATCCCTTTCTTTTGTTTTCTCACCACACCCCCTCCCCAGTGGCTCAGCAGTAGGGCTGAAGGTTTATAACGCTAAAAACTGGGCTTCGATACCTGTGATGGGCACAGCACAGATAGCCCATTGCGTTGTTTTGCGCTTAACAACACAAACTTTCTTACTAAAATCTCCAACAAACGATACACTGCGTTATTATAACATCATTGTTGCACATCTAATTAACGCTTGGTTTCTTTGGTGTTAACCCAGACACAGCATTAGATACAACCAAAGAAGAAATAGAAAAGATGAGATCATATTCGCATTAACTGGGGGGGGGGGATATTTATGATACCTTCTGAAAAAACTTATCCTACATAGTGGGAGGGGATACGCTAAAAATCATTAAGAAATTGAAAAAAAAAATAAAACTGGTGGAAGGTATTTATTTACTAAGTAAAGAAACATCACAGAAAGTTATTAAATGGAAACAAAAACTTCGTCTTCAGCCATACTAACACAACATTTTAAGAATCCATGGGTGAAACTATAGTTTATAACGACACGTTCACTAGCTACATTACAAACTTTAACGTTTATTGCAATTAACAGCGGTCTTTTAACAGGCGAAGGACTGGGAAACGCCAGAGGTCTAGG